TGAAGGCTGTATTTGGCTTGCTTACCCTGGGTGACTAATTTAGGTGTTGCATCTTAACATCTTGACTATACAGAGACCAGGGTCTGGCACTCTGGCAGCTTGTGTGACTGGAAACATCCACCACCCTCTCGAGCTTCAAGGTCACACCAAGCACAAGGCCCAGCTTAAGTTAGATGCAAGGGAGGCTGCTGTGTGGGACTGCCAAGGGTAGATGAAGAGCCATGGCCCCAGTGCCTGCTTTGTTTATGGCAGCATCTTGGGAAGGAACACAGTGCGCTGCTGCCAACAGGGAGGCTGGTCCCTCTGGAGTGGAGGACCTGTTGTGACACAGGAGTAGCAGTTACTGCCCTGACTCTCCCTTCCTCCTGGCAGCAGAAGGAGCGGCAAGGTCGCCCTCAGGGGGTCCGTGTCTGGCTCTCCTTCTTTACTCCATCCCTTCCCTCTACTCTCTGCTTCCTCTGCAGCAGTGGTTTAGCGTTAGCCTGGCACCGCTTTGCTGGGGACAGCAATTGTAAATTTTAGGTACTTAAATCTGAGAAACCTGAAACTGGCTCTATGTTTCTAGAGAGATGTTCACTTTAAAAAAAGTTATCACTCCTTATTAGTGCTTAGAGTTTTAGCTGTGAAGTTAAGAGGAAAGAGATCAAAAGCTAATATCTAATTATACAACTAAAGACAGGCAAATGGGAGGAGACACTGCTGGTCAAAGCGCAAAATGTAGGTATCACACTCAAATCCAGATTCCCTGCCAGCTTGGGCTGCATCACAGGATCTTTCTTGAAGTCTCTCTAATACATGCCCATCATATAATCCTTCATTTTTTCATTAACTCCACTGTCTCATGCTGTGCCGGCAGCACATCCCATACAGCATTCTTGACTTCATTGACAAAGCTTTCACAGCGTGTCCTCACCTTCTTCTCACTAGCACTAGAGTGATATGTCTCCAGTAAGTTCTTGATGCCACCATCTGTTGTCCATCCATTCTTTTTTTCAGACACACCTCTTCCCACTACATCTGCCAGTCCTGTGTTTGGGAGAGTCCCATCCCCAGAACAAATTCATTTTTCTCTTTCAAAGTCTTCCTTCAAGTACACCTTTGCCCAGAAACTGCAAAGAACTTGACAGTGACTTGGCTGATGAGAACACAGCCAAGCATGCCGATTAATAGTGCTTCATTATTTCCTCTGCACCTCAGTTTGGTAGACTCCAGTGTGATATCTTGTCCTGTGCTTCAGCTGGGGGAGACACTGCCTTCCAGCGTTGCTAATGCTTTAATACATTCTACAAGAGGCCTGGGATACAGAGATACTAACTTACACAAGCAGTAAGAAACAATACTTACACTCTTCATGCACTGTTTGTCCAGGAAATAAAGCAAAAATGCATTGAGGAACTTCCTAGTCTGAATTTGGCATTTGTAACTAGTCCTGCAATCAGACGATGATTGCACGTGTGCAGGTATTAGATGTGGACTGTTTATCCAGCTGTAACAGTCACACAGTTGGCAAGCAGCACCAGGAAATCAGGCATGGTTAATGTTCAGGATACATAATCTTCACAGTGCTTCTGCCAGGTGCCTTCTTTGGCTTCAAGCTCACTGTCTTCTCACCTATTCTTTTGTCTATCTAGTGTTCAGGAAAAGGAAGCGGAGTGCGACATGCTCTACCCCTGTAACAGGCAGAGTGAGCCTACAGGACACGGTGGAAATAATCAGGACATAACCAACACTGTGTGCTCTATTTGTTATATTTACATCTTTGGTGGCTATTTGAAGATTTTCCTTGCTCACCTGAGGCATCTTTCTAGGTCCATCAACAGTTAATGAAAGGCTGATAGTAAAAGTCTCACAGATAACATGTTTTCCTGTGGGTTATTTCCCATCTCTTAGTGGGCTTGACAATTTATTATTCAGTGCTTGCACATTCTACCCTTGCAGGCCATATATTAACATTTAGTGAAGAAGCAGGGTAATTCACTGAATCTTAGTGTCATGTTCGTTACAAGGCACAGCAGTAGGGCTATCTTTATTTACAGATCATTAAAAAGATGAATTCTGCAGTAACAGAACAAGCAGAAATACTTGTTTTTCTTGAGCATTTTTCATAGTATTTGGTCAAATGAAAACTATGCAGATGCCTGCTGGCTGCAAAAATGAAAAGGAGAAGAAAGAGCAGGGGGAATTTGGTGGAAAAGAGATCTGAGACAAGAGGGACCACTGGACTGAAGCAGTAGTCTCAAGGGGGACAGAGGAAAGATCCAAAACAGCCATTCTTCGAGTAGCATTTTCAGATGTTGAGCATGAGAAATACTGACACACTCTCTATCCATTGTCTTTCTGTGCCCACCATTGCTGAGCACCTGGACATAACGATGTCAGAAGATTTGCACATCCTGGAAACATCCTCATCCCAGGGAAAGTGTGAGATCTTTAGCAAAAGAGGTGACTGAAGGAAGGAGGGAGCAAGCTGTGAGGAACCAAAGCTATCTATGGTGGCAGAAGTAGCAGCATGGTTGTTTGGTGGGCTACTGTAATTAGGACAGCTCTGAGACTTGTCTAAAATGTTAGGAGAACTAACCAAGCTCCGGGCAGTGTCCAGGCCAGGGTGTGTTTGAGAGGCATGAAGTTGTCTGTTCCCAACTTTCACAGTCACCCCTTCAGCCCAGCAAGCTGCAACACAATCCCCCAGGACCAGTGTGGATCCTGGAAGGCTAGAGATGTGGCTGCCACTGAAGCAGCACACAAATGGATGGACAAAAATTCTCTTATTAATTTCCACTGCTTTGAGCACTTGTGCAATACAGGTCTGTTTTGACAACTGGGATACAGGATACACACTGATGAGTGCTAATTTTAAGTCCTGATCGCTTTACTTCCTTGAACTACAACCTGACAGACACTGTGTTTTCAGCTTGTCGTGATGGCAGCAGTATTCAGGAACTCCTTTTTCTTACTTCTCCATCCTTATCTTCTGGCACGATCTCAGTCACTCCTTCTTGCTCTTTTCTTGATTTTGTTCTCCAAGACTGGCAAATGTTATCTTTCTTGAGGAGGCACCCACTGTGCAGGAACTATTTTATTGTATGAGGGATGGACTGAGATTAATGTAAACTACACAGAGCGTATGATGAAAACAATGAAGAGACTCTAATAACTGATAAGATTTGCACAGCTCAGTTCACTCGATGAGCAAATTTCATGACACTTCCCCTTGGATTCAAAGAGGACACTTTAATCTCACTACTATAAACATGACCTAAGGAAGGACTAGGGTGGAGCATGGGAAATATTGTCCTTTAAATTGTCTAGTCTTTGGAGTAGCAATCTACTTATGATATAGCAGCCTCAGCTGTCTGGCTCCAGGCAAGTCATACAGCCTTTGCGAGGGTCCTGAGAAATGTTTCAGTTGGTGCTACAAGCCCAAATTCCAGCTCTTATCTTGGTTTCAGTGTGTGTGCAGCGAGAGGAACGCGCAGCGGCAGCACTAGACAGGCTTCTCTCAGATCTCATCAGCCAAATCACTTCTCAGGGTATATCCAGGGTTTTCTCAGGGTTCTATCAGTCTTCCCACAGAATATCAATAGTGGTTCTTGTAACAGTGTAGGTGGAGCTCGAGGCCGTTCGTGATCCCCAAGGAATTTGATAGGGTTCCTCATTGATCTATTTTGTATTTTCTTTATCCAGGTTTGTCTATCACATGCTATGGAGCAGGAGTCCCTTTCGTCATTTGATCAGATGTCTGAACAGCCCATACGCAGGGCACATTGGCCGTGTCTGCCACCTGAGTGCTGCTGTGTCTAGCAGGTGGGACATGCTTCATTCCCCCACCCAACCTCTGGGCCCTGTCACCCTCCCAGCAGGACAAGCCTGGGACACGTGTAATAAACTGGGTATTCTCTGTCCTCAGGAGGAAACAGTCTGTCTGTGCCAGAGGCCACACTTTCAAGCTGGTTGGATATACACAGTGTTCCTTTTCTCCCTTAACAGTCAGCATAGACATAATTATTGCTGGCTGAATTTCGGATTTCTAAAATTCCCATTGTTAACAAAACTAAAGATTGATGTGGATGGGGGTTGGTCTTACTTTTGACATTCCAAAGACAAAGGAATCTCACACATGACCGACTCTTTTGTATTCAGGTTTTCAACTAACTTGCTTTGAGTTGGCGAGTGTTAGCACTGAAAGAGTTCGTCTGAGGCTCGTCACTATTGAAATTACCTCAGCTCAATGTTCTCCTTGTTTTTGAAACTTTGTTCCTCGTAGGCAGCAAGTTGGGTAATGGACACACCTTAGGAGAGCACCATAAATGGGTGAACATGCATCCCATGCCTGAAGTCAGGGCACTGGTTGGATGTACATGAATTACTGGGTAAGTACTGCTGCACAGGTGTAATTTTCCTTGTATTTTCACTTGGGCTATGTTAGTGGTTTTGTTTTGGTTTTTTTTTCAGCAAGCACTCAGTGCTGGTTAATTAATTTAAGGGTATAGTTATAACCTGTGTTGGTCCCAGAATGTTACAGGTAAATAGGTCGTGTTTTGCCCACAATCTTTTGTATTCTGCTCTCTGGGTTGACGAACGCATTAGACGCAGAACAACCCCCGATTCACGGGTTCTGTCGCACGCCCTAAATGATTCGCTGATTTGTTCAACGAATTATTTGGGATACGGGTTATTAGTCTGATCTTTTAAGGAAACGAGGCTTCCGCAATTGCACAATTTTCAAGTTTTCTGTGGTATCCCTTGAAACTGCTGACCGATTTCAGTCAAACCGAACAGACAGAGAGGTCTCCATAGCCGCCAAGTCATGGACGCGCAGGACCCTTGACACCAGGAGAGCAGAGCTGTGGAGGCCTCCAGCTGCGGCGCGGCAGTTTTTGTATTTCTGCACCGCCACACCTGCAGTTCTCCAGGGGCGAGCCTCGAGGCCCCGGGGTAGCCCCCGTCCCACTTGCCCGGGGAGCACCCTGCCGGCCTGGCGCGACCAGCAGAGCCGCCCGAGGCCGGCGCCCTCTCGCATGGTAATGCTGTGGACCTGGGCCAGATGTGCAGCTTCTACATTGGCCTTGGCTCCCGCATCAACTGCAACGTCTTCTCTTATGACTACTCCGGCTACGGGGTGAGCACCGGCAAACCCTCTGAGAAAAACCTGTACGCAGACATTGATGCAGCCTGGCAGGCCCTCAGGACAAGGTAAATGGATATTGGGGACAAGGTGTTTCTGTATCTCCATTTAATCCTGGTAAATCCAGTGTCTGCACAGTTAACCTGCTGAGAGGTGGAGGGGAAGGGTTTGTGGATGGTTTGAGTTACTTCAGCGGCCTCACCAGATGTTCCGTCAACAGCTACCATGCAATTTGCTGGATGGCTTCATTTGTTAAAAGGATGTGCAAACCTTCATCCTTGGGCTTTTTCTAGATTTAGGGGTTTATTCAGCTGTATTATATGTTAGTCATTGCTTCAGCATTGAAAATTACGATCTTGAAGGAAATAGCGCACTGGTTGCAGTTTGAGCTTGCAGGGTGCAAAAAACCTTTTGTTAAAGACTTGCCCACCACTGTCTACACTTGGAGGTAACCCAGGTGAGCCAAAGCATTGACTGAATTTGGCAGTAGCCTAGGCGAGTGCTTACCAAGAAACTGCTGGTGTTCTGTGATGCATCTGGGGTTTCACACAAGCTCGTGCGACAGAGACGTCTTTCTCTTTTGGCAACCAAACAACTGTTGTCGTATTGGGTAGGGTAGTGGGGTGGAAGGAAAAAGTGTTGACAGGTGGAAGTAGAGCTGGGGATTCTGCCAGGAAGAGATGCCGAAGTAGGTGGCATCCAAAGGGATGGAGCAGCAACGAGAAGGCTCTGGCAAGGTGGCATGGCCAGGAGGAACAGGGAGCCCTTGGCTTCTAGGAAATCCTGAGCAGAGCTGCCGCCTCTGGCTCCTTGCTACAACTGTTTGCCATCCCTGGGCCTCTGTTGCTTCTTCTGTCCACAGAAACCATGAGCTCCTTTTGCTGTTGTGTAAGTGGTTCTTAAAGTAGGACCTTGCAGAACATATCCTGGAAGAGAGAGCTTTAAAAAGCTTAAATTGTTGCAGTAGGGCAAGAGGAAAAAAAAGGATGAACGTTTTCTATTCTTGGCTCCGGGCTTGTGTAGATGAACTTGGCTTATGTGAAATGAGTATTTAATGTCTATCTTAAGGATATGTGCCAGCTTCAGAAATAGTGACAAGCGTTGTTACTAATTTAGATAATTGGCTTTTCAAGGATCCAGGGATTGGTCAGTTGTGGAGTCCAAATGGCTTTTGACATTGGTCTGCCCAAGTCAAGTTAAGAGCATGGGGGAGAAAGGTGTAGGAGGAAGTTACCCTTTTGTAGCTTGTGTTCTGTCTGTTTGATGAACAAACCAGATTCTGGGTTTTTTTCCAAAAAAAAAAAAAAAAAAAAAAAAAAAAAAATCCTTGAATAAGAACAAAATGTTTTTATGTAAAGAAATAACTTTGATATGCTGTATGCGGAATAAATTATTAAATGCCACTGTTATGCATATGGATGATGGAAATAAGGTTTTAAGGGAGGAAAAGTGCTATGTCTAAGCCAAGCCTAGTTAACATTTTAACATTTGTCCTTCAGTTGCTGTGTTTTCTCTCTGTTTCACTTATGTTTAGTTGATGATATTTTTTCATGAAGGTCTTCTAGAGCTCTGAATAAGTGCTTTCACATCCACTTGGAAGGGCTCCTGTCTTGACAGGCATTTAATGTGTGTTTAAGATCTACGTAGATCCAGAAACAAGAGGTTCCTTCACTTAAGTCTTTTGAGACGCCTGACCCAGTAGGCGGTGCCAAAACGTGCCCAGCTTGCTCTGAGAGGATTGAGCTCTTTCTGTTAACACGTGGCTGGAGGAAGTTTGTAGTCTTATATTGGAGTCCTTTCTGTAGCTTATACAAGATCTGGGTTCTGCTTTTCTCTGTAAATTCAGGGGTTGAAATTTGCCAGCTTGTACATGGTTAAGTCCCGCATCTTAGTGCTACCTTGAGAGTACTGTTAGAGTAGTTGTGTTATCATTGGTTAAAGATAGGAAATACTACATACAGTATTTTGGGTGCCCAGTGAAGAAACTGGTTACTGAAAAATGTAAGCTTAAAAAAAAGAGATTGATTCTGTCTATTAACAGATGACTGTCTTCATAACAGGTATGAGCTGAAACAGTAGGTTTTCTGTTGATGAATTCTCAAAGCAGTAGTGGGAACTTTAAATGACTGATCATTTCTTAGCCCTTTTTAATGTCCAAGTGGCTCCCAATTAAGTGAAATACTCTGCTGTAAAAATACAAGTCTGCCTGTTGAAGTAAAATGTCGTATTATACCATTTTTGCTACAGCAGTTCGTTGGTTGCTTCCAAGAGTTTTGTGTATGCTTTCATTCTTCATGCAAATGCCTAACATTTGGCCTGTAGTCATGTGGAAGTGAACTGTAATGCAAAGTTAAAAGTGAAGTCTTAAAATAGGAGAGGTTCACTATGCCATCAAAAGCATTTAGTCATCTGTGCTAAGTTCTGTGGGAAGCTGTTGCTCTTCTGAATCCACCAGACGTTCCACCTGGCAGCAGAAAGGAATCATTAAAATGTTGGAAATCTGAGATTCCTCTCTTTTTTTTTTTTTTTTAAATTGTGCCTGTGAAGTACCACTGATACTTAGCAAATATTAATTTAGCAGTGTATTTTGAAAGTTGCCCTGAGTAAGATGGAAATTAACCTTACACTAGGACAAAACAGATTGCTGCCAAATTTTAGAAATCATGGTGAGCTGACTGTGGTTGCAAACATACATGGCTGCAAATTTTGACTGTATTTTATCAAGTTACTGAAATGAGGATCTTGCTATCACATATACATTCAAGTGTCAGATGTTACACAACAAACGACTCTAAAACCACCTTGTAAACAGTGGCTAAAAAATAAAATCGTCTTTTTTTGGTTGGTTTCAGTTATCAGTCTGTGTTTGTAGAATCAGTGTCAACTATTCTGCATTCTTTTAGTCTTTGTAACTTATTTTCTTTTAATTCTAAATAAATGAGTATCTCTCCTCATGAATAGAGTATGCTCTTAAATGATAATTTTACTAATTATTACGTTTGAATGCTAGCTGTCTTTCAGCCCAGGTAAAGATACTGACATACAATTACATTTCGTTGAAATGAGTTTTTATAGATGTTCCTTCAGAGGTCCAGTTGTAGTGTTGGTTGCTCAAGTTCCAATATCCATTATTAATCAGTAATTAATTTGGGCTTTTATATATATTCCACTTGATTAACAAATTTCCATCTGATATCTAAATGTCTCTCAAAGAATCTTCTGTTTCTTTGCTTCAGATAACATGTTTTTTTGTATTTCATTTTAGGCAGGTTGGTCTGTTTCTGTTGTGTTTGTTCCAGAACCAGATTGAAGAGAAGCTATATTGGACCCTGTCTTCTCTCATGGTCCTTATAGTTTTAAGTTGCTTTTTATTCAGATGTGGTTGACTCTTACCCTAAAATCCTATTGACTTACTTCAACATCTGCACAGAATGACTTGATTGTCACTCTCCTTCCCTTTCCTGAATTCCCCATGGGAAGTTTGAACTTTCTAACTCTTTTACATTAAGACAATGTACAGTACTTAAAAACAGGATACACGCTTAGGGTTTGGGTACAGTGCTTAAGCGCAAAGCCATGATGACTTTGTTGACTGCATGTTTTTTATATTAAATCAATTTGTATGTTCTCTAAAAATTTGGAGATTTGTGAAATGTTTTAAAATCTCCGTCAAGTGAAAGAAGGCACTACTTCCCCACTCTCTTTGCTTCTGTAGTAGAGTTTCGAAGAGAACCCATTAGTCAATCTTTTGGATATTGAAAGGAGATGAAGAAAATGTGGTTAATAAATAGGTTAGAAGAGCTGTTCTTGTTGCATTTAACAAAATACAGCTTGATTTTTTTTCATGGTGCACAATATAAACTAGTATCCTTTCTATTTAAGCTTTTGATAAATGATAGATGTTACTGTAATGTTTAAATACTTCATTCTGAAAACACGTACATTTGAGTTTGTCTTTCAGTCCATAGGAGAGCATTGGTTCACTTCCACTTCTCATTATGCTCCTTGGTCAATACGGCATGATGAAAGGAATTGTGAAATGGTATAATGAAATGAGAGGGCTTTTGATCAATGGATACCAGATAGTTTAGAATATTTAAATAGTTTTTAAAACTATTTCCCCAAATTCAACGTTTAAAACAAAATCAAACCTTTTATTATATGGTAATTTTATTATTTGTGGTGCTGATTATCAGTCTCTTACTGCTATTTCCTTTGAAGGAGTTGATGGAAAAGTGTTAACAGTTTTCATTTGAGTAAAATTAGGGAACACATCTAGTTGGATTAGACTAGCGTGATAACTGATCTTCTGAGGCTGTGTCAGTTTAGTGTGTCTCCATTTTGATTTGCTGAAGTGGTTACAGCTTTCTAGGTGAATAATAGCTTCAGGTCTTTTTTACCTCGATTTATCAGAATAGTTATTTTCTGCTTTAATTTTCTTTGCAACAGAATCTTCTTTCACTAGCACTGTGTTTCTGAGCATGATCTAACTCGAGTTCTTCAGATGGAATACTTAGAGGTGTTGATGAAAAGTTACCAACTTCATTCCTGGCAGGCCAAAGGCAGTGCTCAGCAGTCATGACAAATAATCCTGGAGTAACAGGGTTCCCCTTGTTCATGGGGCATAACCTGGTAGATTTTTCTGTCATTAACTTTGATAGGGTTTTTCCTACTTCCAGTTTTTTAACAGTGTTGACACGATATCTGTAAAGGATTGTTTAAAGAGACCGTTCTCTAAAACTTAACTTATTCTACCTGCCATGGTCAGTACCTCAAGAAAAGCTGCATACAACTTTACTCTGTATGTTATTTTTACTCTGTATCTATTTTTGAGCAGTCTCCTGCTGTTGTCTATGTAATGAGCAGAGATTAATTCCAATGATGAGCATCCCAGGGACAAATGCCAACAACTATTTAAAACAGGTGCTCTGATGTTCAAAGTTATTCAAAATGTTTACTGAGCTTTGGTGTTGTATTACATAGTTTAGTCACTTGAAGTGAAAGTAGTTTTGCTAAATATTTCCCCATTTCTGTCAGGACTGCAAGATCAAAGCTTGTTGGAAAAAAA